GAATGCCGAAAGCCCGTTTCGGGCCGGTGGCGACAGTCTAAACCAAAACTCATTGAACATGAATGTGTGGTTTAACTTAATGTCAAACTATCAACAACCCACAAATTCAAACATTCACAATAATAGTCTATAAAATTTCATAAGTCTTAACTTTAAATAATTTATAAATAACATAATTATAAATTAATAAATAAGTTATTAATAAAACATAGTAGTTTAAGATTTTTTGTGGTAGTCATTCAAAGCAACTTTGAAGAGTTGCAACTATTATAGAGATTTTGTGCTTAAAGTTGCTTGTATTGGGAAGAGTGAAAATAAGGAATGAGTACAAATGGTCCCATTGGAAGCAACAAAGTGAACTGCCATCATTGTGGAGCTCTTATAATTTATGGTAGATTGTAATTGGATGATTGTGTAAAATTATTTTAACTGTCAGTGTATCACCATTAAACTCAAATTTAATTGTTCAGGAACATCTAGTCTAAAAAAAGTTGTCTATCCAGAACAACCAATCTTGAACATCATTTTTTTTAACAATCAATATCAAACAATGTAAACTTCAAATGGGTGTTTCAGATTATATGTTTTGGAAAGATAAATTTTCAAAATTAAGGTATTTCAAAATTTATCTTTTAGTCCTTAAAGTTTGAAATATACTTTTTTAGTTAATATATTTATCTTTTTCAATCTTTTTTAGTTCCTATAGTTTAAGATATAAAAAATTTAGTTCCTACACTAGTAATTTTTTAATCTTTTAAGATTCCGTCGTTAAATTTTTTGCAATAGTCTCTTTCGTGTTGGCGTGCGTGACAAGGGTATTGATTTAACTTTGTGTATTTGATATCAAATTTATTTTGTTGGAGTTATTTTAAATTAAGTCTCTTGACACTTCGTGCTTCTTTTTGTACCCTTACCTACAATGCCCATTGTTAAGACACTCCTTTTTATCTTCACAAAATTGAAGACCTTTATTCCATCAACATCAAACAAACGTTGTTACCAAAAAAATAGTTAACGATATAGACTAAAAAGGTTAAAAAATTATATGTATTAGATTCTTAAAAATCATTTTAAATAAAATTTGATTTAGTTAAATTTTTTTTTTTATTTTATATCATTAAAAAATATTTTGCAAAGTAATAATATAAAAAATATCTTAATTTATAAATTCATAAAAATAATTAAGTTAATAAATAAAGTATTGATGATATGTAAAAATGTAAGATTTTTTTAGACTCATTTAAAAACTGAAATAGAGATACTAAATTTGATAAAAGAATGTTTATAAAGATGCTTAAACTAAAAAGAATAAAAATGAGTGGTATGTATAAAAGAAACTCAGTTTAACACCTTAAAAAAGAATCTCCATTAGATATGACCTTAGATGAGAAAAATATTTATACTAATTTCAATGCATATGAAAAAAGGAGAGAGAAGTTATAAAGCTTATTAGTTTTTTATTTATTTTAAAAGTGTTTTTTAATAAAATAAATATTTTTTATTTTTATTGTCTAAACTATTTACTTTAGAAATTATTAATTTTCTATTTTTAAAAAGTAATTCTTATCGTTTCGAAAAATATCTTTAAATTTATCGTTTCGAAAAATATCTTTAAAAAGTAATTTTTTATAATTATTTTTCTTTGAATTTAAATAAATGACTTATTATTAAAATTACATCTATATTAATATATAAAAGGAATATTCTTTTTAATAATTACCTTAATCTCCATATTTTGTTAATTATTATATTTTTCTATTTTAAAAAATTAAAAGAAATAATATTTTTTTATCAAATTTAAGAACATAAAATTAATAAAATAATTATAATACTAATTAAATAAATATATTTTTATTATTTAATTTTTATTTTATTTTTAATAGAGATACAAAATGTCTAGATGATAATAAAGGGTTTAGAGTTTTATTGAATGAGAAGGCATAAATAAAATTAGTCATACGAGTTACCCAATTTTCCCCCCATAATTTTTGTTTAGTGCGGGGATATTTGAATTTGTTTTGGCTCCTATAAATTGAAACGGTGTTCGTAGACGTAAATCCACCGTGAACGTTTGAATCCCCAATTCAGCACTGCATCGTGAAGCCAAAATGGGGCATCAATACCACCAAGCAACAGATGGTCTTTTGAACCTTTTCACGAAAGCCAATCACGATCTCTCTTTGGTTCACCATCGCCTCGAAAAGGAGTTTCAGCACGTTTACCCTGACAACGTAAGAATAACACCTCATCGCTGTTTTCACCATTTTTCGAGTCCCTTCATTCACATTTCTTCGATTCCCTACTAAAACCAATCATTCGTTTTTGATGCTTAAACCTGAGTTGGGTTTTGCAGGCTAACCCTATGAAGTTGGTTTCTAGGATCAAGAAGGTTCAGGAAGATATAGAAATCTTGAAGGGGCAGTGCCATGAACTTCTGGCTGCTAAGCAGGTACTTGATTGTTAATTGTTCTCATTTTGGTGGTTATATAGATTTGAATTGATTGTTGCAAGTGATAGAGATGTGTGCTTAGAAGATAGGAATAAGGCATGTGTTTTGAAGTTAATGTAGCGGGTTCACTTGGGCAGGATTTGATCGATAAGGCTCAGAGAATTCTGGTTGAGAATAGGAATTTGGTGCAGCGTATGCAACCGCCCTTGGGCATCTCCGACACTGGTGAAGATGATGCTGCATTCACTAACTTCAAAGAGGTAATTGAGTGTGTTTTGTTATTTTTAATTGATTTGTTTTAAAGTTAGTCTTGATGTCTTCAAATAAATTAAGTAATGATAGTGTGTGTGTATCAGAGAGAAAGAGTTAATGTGTTCTTTTTTAAATTGATTTTCTGAAGTTAGTCCTTCAGTGTCTTTAAACAGATGGTGTAGTGAAAGTGTTAGTGTATCTTTTGCATTTTAATTTTTTGAAAGTTAGTTCTTCAGTGACTTTAAACAAGTTAAAAAATGTCCAATATGTTGAAGATCTCACGACGACTAGAGATGAAACCATAATAATGTATATAAGTGGAGAGTAATTTTCACCTTATGAGTCAATTTTGTAAGGTTGTGTTAGGTTCCAAACCACTTTCTAAGATAATATCATAGCTTATTCTAGTTGTTCTTGTTGTTGGGCTTATTAGGTTATCTGTTCTCGAACTACCCATAGATGTCCAGTCCAGCAAGCTTCACTCTCAAGATGTCAAATTCTCAATGTGAGGGAAGTGTGTTGGAGATCTCACATTGGCTAGTGATAATCCTAATAAAGTGTATATAAGTAGAGAGTAATCCTCATCTTACAGATCGATTTTATAGGGTTGACGGTTGAGTTAAACTTCAATCCATTTTCTCAAGACTATAGTTTGGATGTATATTTTTCTCATGAATTACTAAGAAGTGCATAACGGTTCATTTAGCCTTTCAAGAGGAGTTTTAGTTGTTCAAGAAAAAGTAACTGTTCTAGGCTATGATTTCATGGCAGAATGAAAAGTTATAGTTCAAAAAATCAAATGTAGTCTCTTCCATTTTGAAGGTATCAAAGTGGAACATGATGGTAATTTATCCACGTGTATTTATTTTATCTCTAAGGTTTCCTGCTTTCCAAGTGGCGCTTCAAGTGTTTACACCGTTTGCCAGCAAGCAACCAATATGAACCGAGTTAGGGGCTTTGCTTACAAGTTTTTTGCAAGCATGGATGTCCTTGGGTAGTGTTCATGTTGCTTTGCCTACATAATCAAGGGTCTTCTTGTTTCAACTAAACTTAATACTTAAGTGGAAAAGAATACATTCTCGTTCTGTTTCCATCTTTTTGCATTTCTGTTATGCCATGCTGGTGTAAAATGATTTCATCCCAAATTTTGTATCTCACCACTTTTCACCTAGTCAGTCAAATCAAACTAAGTGTACTTGCAATGGTTTTTACACAATTTTAATTGATTTTGCAGGTAATTGAAGAAAGGACAGCACGAGTAAGATCCAAAACAGGTAAGGAGTTTCAAGGATTTATTATCTTGAAAAGTATCCACGTTTTAATTTGACAACCTTATTTAATTGATATGTGTGTCATTATGGAATAGCGAAATTTACTGGATGTCAATCCAATGGTTTGCATTAAATATCTATTTTATGCAAAAAAAAATAAATGATTATTGAGAGGACAATAAATTGTGGTTTTATTGATTTCACTTTAGAAGTGGTCATTTGGGGATTTGTTATTTATGACTCCAGTTGATGGTTTCTTAACATCTTTTCTCATCTTCATCTTTTTGGCTTCATGAATTTGAATACCCTTGTGGCACAATTTGAATTTGCGGTAGTTAGTAGGTCTGGACGAGTGGCTAAGTGTTGGTTCATGTGGTAAAGAAAGGGAAATGGAGTTGAGATAGACATCTGCTGTGATGAGTTCAAGGACAAAAAAGGGGAGAAATTGAGCTTGGGGTTGAGGGAGTTGTTGAGTCTCCAACTAAATGTGTTACCACTTCAGGCTCAACTGCTCAAGGTTTGTGAAACAATTGTTTTTTAGCCTTGGAAGGAACAGCTTCACCTTGTTGTAGTGGGGCAACTACATATAGCCCTGTAGGAAGAGTGATAGATTGAAGAAGAAATTGGATTGTTATTCTCAATGAATCAGAATAGACACATGAACAAATTGTCATGAGCTAATTTTCCTTGAAGCTTAAACCATTACCTGTAGGCTGAAGGTTCATGATTGGTTTTATATCTAAGCAGATGATAGAATGAAGACACTGTTTATGATGTTATCAATTTCTGCATTTTAGAAGTTGATTGTAGTAGCACCTTGGAATTAGTTGGTCTAAATAGTACGTAGTGTTTCAAACCACCAGATACCTAATCTGTAGCAAATTTCAAATTATTAATCTCTAGGATGTAGAAATCCACCTCAAAGTTGTAGCCTTGTATGGGATGATCTCTAGTTGTTCATCCTTTAGTCAGACTAGATGTACCTTATTCCCCATTACTTAAAAAATTCTTGGATGATTTAGTGAGTTCCAAGTTCTGTATCAATCTCCTAGCCACATTTGTCATTATGAAGTTATGTGTGCTTCCATGATCAATGTGAATGGATTTTTTCTTGCATTCCCTTTAAGTCACAAGGTGATAGGGTGGAACTGACTTGTCAGTGCCTAAGTTCCTCTCTGTACATTTCATGCTGTTTCTATTTTTAACTTGTGTTGGTAAGAGAGTTATAACAGTTTCCACTATGCACCAGCTATTCATCTTGTTGCAACAGTTTTAACTTCTAAACTTCAGAAGTCACATGCCCGGGATGGTGTGCCTCATCATTTTCTCTTGTATAGCTTTTGCTTTTTGTATCAAAGGGAAGGGCTATCCAAGAATTTGGAATGACTACCATGGAATCTGATTTATCGTAATGTGTGATCTTAAATAATTACTATGACACTGCAAAATTTCAGGAGTACATAATATGATCAATATGAATGGATTTTTTCTTGCATCCTTTAAGTCATAAGGTGCTATCATCTGTACACTGCTTGATTTCTGGAAAAATAATTTTCTTACTGAATATGTGTTGAATGCAGGGAATGAAACACATGATGCTGATTCTGGAGATATCAACAAACTACTATTCTCAGCTATAGATCAAAGTAATTGAACTGCTATCCAAGTATAGTATAGATGTTGCAGTTTATGCCAAGCTCCCTGAGTTTCACAAATGATACATACTGTAGACTAGTAGTAAGCTTCTAGCTGGTTATTCTTCTTTTAAGATGTAGCTATTCTAGGTTCCCTAACTGGTGTGCTTCTATTGTTGGAATGGCTAGCAGAAAACAAATTTGATTTTTACGTTAAGACGCAAAGAAATGAAATTGTGTACACAAACAATGATAGTATTAACAATGAACTCATTAACCATAATGTGATTCTTGCTTAATCCGATAAGGACCTAGTCACATGTATATGCTGAACATCCATAACCTTTGCAACAAGGTGGAAGGACATTTAGGAAAATCGACTTGACCAAAATAACCTTCAGAAATATATATCGGTGCCAGTAGTTGAAAGGAAATAGACTGCATCAAAAGTTTGAACATTGCTTATGTTGCATTGAAGCAATGACACAAGTTCATTTTGAATAAAAAGACAAAATATAATTTAGACATTTTTATAAATAGGAGGGTACTTCAATTTTTTTATATACAACTAAAACCTTCATTTTTTTTTCTCATTCTCACCTCATTGAATTCCCAACTTTTTCTTGTTTTAATTCAATGGGTCTAAACCAAAATTCATTCAATATGAATGTGTGGTTTAACTTAATGTCAAATTATCAAGAATCCACAAATTCAAACATTTACAATAATAGTCTATAAAATTTCATAAGTCTTAACTTTAAATAATTCATAGATAACATAATTATAAATTAATAAATAAGTTATTAATAAAATATATTAGTTTAAGATTTTTTGTGGTAGTCATACGAAGCAACTTTGAAGAGTTACAACTATTATAGAGATTTTGTGCTTAAAAGTTTGTATTGGAAGAGTGAAAATAAGGAATAAGTAAAATTATTTTTATACTGTCAGTATATCACCATTAAACTCAACTTTAATTGTTTAGGAACACATAGTCCAAAAAAAAGTTGTCTATCCAGGACAACCAATCTTGAACATCATTTTTTTTTTAACAATCAATATCAAACAATGTAAATTTGAAATGGGTGTTTCAGAATATGTTTTGGAAAGACATTTTTTAAATTAAGGTATTTCAAAATTTACCTTTTAGTCCTTAAAGTTTGTAATATACATTTTTAGTTAATATATTTATATTTTTCAATTTTTTTTAGTTTCTATAATTTAAGATAAATATTTTTAGTTTCTACACTTGTAATTTTTTAATCTTTTTAGTTTCTGCCGTTAAATTTTTTGGAAGTCTCTTTCGTGTTGATGTGACAAGGCATTGATTTAACTTTGTGTATTTGATATCAAATTTATTTCGTTGGAGTTATTCTAAATTAAGGGAGGTGTATTGGTTTAGGATTTCGTAGGATTTTAAAAGACTTTTTTTGAGTAAAAAAGTCCATTGGTATTCAATCAGGATTTTATGTCACTTAAAAACAATCCAGTGGTATTCAATCTGGATTTTCAAGATTTTTTAAAGAGTCCATTAAAATTCACTGGTATTCATTTGAGATTTTTTACAACTTAAAAACAATC